TATCTAAATGTGAATCGATTTTCACGAAACTTAACACACAACACTCTAGACCTAATTCATTACGCTGTGCCAAATTTCGTGCAAATCGAAAGATATATAAGGACTTTGGTGCACCATTTACATTAAATCGGATGAAAATATATATGGGAGCTATATCTAAATCTGAACCGATTTTCAGGAAACTTAACACACATCATTCTAGACCTAATTCAGTACCCTATGTCAAACTTCGTGCAAATCAAGAGATATATGGGGAAAGATCGAAAGATATTAAGGGACTTTGGTGCACCATTTACATTAAATCGGATGAAAGTATGTATTGAAGCTATATCAATATCTGAACCGATTTTCACGAAACTTAACACATATCATTGTAGACCTAATTCAGTACGCTGTGCCAAATTTCGTGCAAATCGAAAGATATATAGTGGCTATGGCGCACCATTTACCTTAAATCGGACGAAAATATATATGGGAGCTATATCTAAATCTAAACCGATTTTTACGAAACTTAGCACCATCATTCAGTACCCTATACCAAACTTTGTGCAAATCGAAAGATATATAGGAACTTTGGTGTCCCATTTACCTTAAATCGGACGAATATATAGGAACTATATCTAAATCTGAACCGATGTTCACGAAACTTTCCATACATTATTCTGGACCTAATACAGAACTCTATGCCAAATTTCATGCAAATCGAAAGATATATAGGGACTTTCGTGCGACATTTATCTTAAATCGGACGAACATATATATGGGAGCTATATCTAAATCTGAACCGATTATCTTTGACCTTGGGCCAAATAAGTGACTTGTACCAAATTTTATCAAAATCGGATCATAAATGCGACCTGTTCTTTGTTTACAATTTAACATCTACAGACGGACGAACGGACAGACGGACGGACATTCATAAATCGACTCAAAAAGTGATTCTATGCGTATTCTCAAAAGGAACCATGTGTCTATTTCGTTTCCTTTTGCCTGTTATAAAAATATGCACAAATACATAATAACCACACCTTGTATAGACCCTGAAAAAAAATATATATAATGAAATATATATTTTTTAATTTATCTTTTATTTTTAATTTCAGACTAAATTGTGCTGTATTGTATATAATCTGATTTCCGTATGATGGCAATCGAAAACGATTTAAAAATAAGTTGGAAAAATTGACAACCCGGCCTATAACGATTTAGATACATTTCGGAATCGTGGAATATCCTGTTCTCTCAGTCACACAAAATTCTACAAGGAAGGATGGCAGCAATGCAATAAGCAAATTATTACTTATAAAAATTAATATTTTATATATTTTATAAATGTATATTGTGTGATTTTTTTTACAAAAATAGTTAATAAAAATGAAAATTTAAAAAAAAAAATTACTAAAAATATTATTTTGTTTTTTTATTTACGGATACAAATACGGCAAGTATTTTTATATAAATACCCCTCATGTCTGATGACGTCACACGTTTTATTCACCTCTGATTTTGTGCATTTTTGGGCAAATTTCACAAAAATAACAGGCGCCCAGCATGGAATAGAAAGTAGCCCGCAAAAAAAACGAAAATAAAACAAGTAGAAAAAATTGCATCTGGCAATGCCGTACTAAGAAATTACAAAAATTGTAGCATACTTTTAGGTGCTCGAATTTTTATTTTTGACGGGCAACTTGCTATTTTTTCTGAGCGCCTGGTATTTTCATGAAATTTGCCCAAAAAATGCACAAAATGTTTGGGATTTTTTTTAATTCATTGGGAGCCAGGGGATATTATTACTATGAAATTAATATTTATAACTCCCACTATTTATAACCCACGGGCTACTTTCTATTTCATCCTGGGCGCCTGGTATTTTTGTGAAATTTGCCCAAAAAATTCACAAAATGTTTGGGATATTATACTAAGAATCTAATACTTATAACTCCACTAACTGCTTTTTATACCTCCATATAAATCAAAAAAACTTTTTTTTGTGTTTGTTTTTGAATCTGTTTATTTGTTTTATTTTATTCAATAATTAAGTACATACAAAATTTAATACACAGTTTAGTTATTTAATAGTATTTTTATTAATGCAATAGTGGTGGTATACAGGAACGAATGATGAACGAAGTCAAGCTTAGGGTATTTTCTTTTGGAAATATCTCAATCATACCAGGCATCCAGAAAAAAAAACGAATTGGCAATCAGCGGCCTTTCAGATCCGAAACATGTAGCAGGATTAATGTTCGGATCAACATTTTGGGCACATATCAAGAAACAATGGCAGCGAATTGCCAACTCACTACAAACTGCAGCAAAAGCAACACATTGGTACCAAAGACCACTATCAAGAAATCCGTGGTACGATCAGGAGTGTCGTAATGCTCATATCAGTAGCATTACCCTGCGGACAGTAGCAACACGTAATGCGATGGAGAATTATCGGCAGAAAAGGAGAGAGAAATATTTTCAGAAAAAAGAAGAAAGAACAAGGAAAACGTGAGTGTGAGCAAATCGAGATATACAGGAGTCCGAATGAATTCCGAAAATTTTACCAACGAGTAAAACACCAAACCGAAGGCTTTGGTGCAGGCACTTCCTCATGTACAGATGAAGAAGGAAACCTGGTAACAGATACAGACAGCGTGCTGAGTATCTGGAAGGAACATTTTGAAAATCTTCTGGTATCAAATTGTAGCGGTGAAGAGGATACCCCAGAACCAATAATAGATGACCGTATAGAGTATATACCACCTAGCCAAGATAAAGTCAGAATAGCAATCAATCGACTGAAGAATAAAAAAGCAGCAAGCCGAACTATTCAAGACTGGCGGTCAGATGCTGGTAAGGAGCATGCACCAGCTGATTAGTACAATTTGGCTAGAAGAATGCATGCCCAATGATTGGAACCTCAGCATCCTGTGCCAACTATAGAGGAATAAGTCTCCTTCCCATCGCATATAAAGTGCTATACAGCGTACTGTGTGAACGACTGAAGCCAATGGTCATTACATTACATGACATTATTGGACCATACCAATGCGGTTTCAGACCTGACAAATCCACCATTGACCAGATTTTCACTCTGCGCCAAATCCTGGAAAAAAACCCACGAAAAACACATCGACACATCCACCTATTCGTCGACTATAAGGCCGCATTCAACAACCCTATCCGTTTCAAAACTGAAACTCCGAATTTCAAAACTGATGTCATTCATTTTATTTATGGCGGTTCCAAGGTATATAAAATCTTTCTTTACAAGACGCTGATACTACCCGTGCTGTTATATGGATCTGAAGCATGTGTATTTACGCAAGCAGATGAGGCAGCTCTTAGAGTGTTTGAGAGAAAAATTCTCCGATAGATCTATGGGCCGATCTGCGTTGACGGTGAATATCGCCGTCGAATGAACCATGCGTTGTACCAGCTATTCTCGGACATCGACATTGTTAGACGTATTGAGCTGCAGCGACTACGTTGGCTAGGTCATGTTGTAAGAATGGATGAAGATGCCCCAGCCCCCAGAAGGCATATAAAAGCGAACCAGCTGATGGTTCACGCAGAAGGTGAAGGCCACGAATACGATGGAAAGATCAAGTCGAAGACAACATCGCCGAAAATTGGAAAAACTGCGCAAAAGACCGACGCGCCTGGAAATCTTTTCTAAGCTTATGGAACGAAAGTTCTGTCACAAGCCAGCTATGTAAGTAAGTATCTAAAAACTTCTTTGATTTTTAAGGACCACCAACAGGCGTGGATATTTTTTAAATGCTATATAAGATATTTATAAATTTATATATAATATTTATAAATTTTAAGATCATATATAGGGTACACATTTGTGTTTATCTTTTCAAAACAACGTCTTCTTTGGTTTACATTTAAATTTCTATTTTATTTCCCAATACTTGTCTTTTTTTTATTTTTTGTCTAATTTCTAATTTATGTTTCAAAAAAATACATTTTATGTTGCAGAACAATAGATATGATATGTCATGTAACAAACAAAAATACAATATATTTTAATATGATTTTGAAAAATGTTTATCAATTTATTTCAAATCATTATTTAAGGTTGGATATCTTCATCTTCTTCCTCTTCTTCTGCTATATAATCGTAATTAAAATTGTTGTGTAAACAACATATTTTCAAATTAAAACAACAGCGAATTTAGTATATTTTGAAAAAAAAAAAATATAAATATCAAAAACTACTATATAGGGATATGTGTGTGTGTGTGAGTGTACATGCTATAGGCATAATTCGTAGAATTGCGATCGGGTGTCCCATTATCAACAGTACGCTGCCGTAGAGCAAATGAAGTGATAATGGCGTGAATTGAAATCTGTAATAGGGTGGGTATTAAATTGGTTACTTTAAAAAATTGTTTAAAAAAAATAAGAAAATATGTATTTAAAAAAATGTTAAAACAATAAAATTTGAAACAATTCTAAAAAAAAAAAAAAATTTAAAAAATCCTTAAAAAAAATAAGAAAATATGTATTTAAAAAAATGTTAAAACAATAAAATTTGAAACAATTCTAAAAAAAATATTTAAAAAAAATCCTTTAAAAAACAAAAATTCTTAATGAAAATTTTTTAAATTTAAAAATTTGAATCCTTAATTTTTGCGATGTTAAAAAAAGTCTTAAAAATATGTTTCAAAAATTCACACCTTATATAGGAGATTAAAAAAATAGGTTTCAAAAATTCACGCCTTATATAGGAGATTAAAAAATAGGTTTCAAAAATTCACGCCTTATATAGGAGATTAAAAAAATAGGTTTCAAAAATTCACGCCTTATATAGGAGATTAAAAAATATGTTTAAAAAATCCACGCCTTAAATGGGACCATGAAAAAATACTTTTTTTAAAAAATCCACGCCTTATATAGGAACCTTTATTTTTTTTAATTCACGCCTTATATGGGACTTTGTCCTAAAAGTATGCTCTGCTTTTCTCTACACACGCGCAGCCAGCAGAACGAAAACATACCTTATGTAAAATAGCCATTTTTGTGGGGTTTTTGATTTTCTGGTAACAGGTGCCCAGCACAGAGCAGTGGGGTTATTTCGGAACATCGTTGACTTCAAATGCAAATAACTCAGTAACTACTCGACCGATTTTCATAAATTTGACACCAATAGTTCGAGGAAACTCTAAAGTTTTATTGAAATTGAAGAAAAAAACATATAACCTAATGTTATATAAGAAAAAATTGGCATTATATTAATATTCAAAAATAGGTTTTAAATTTCGTTTTTTTTTTTTTTTTTGATAAACGATAAAATGGAAAGAGGGTGCCAATTCAAATCAAATCAGATATTCAAAACTTATATGACACCATGAAAAAATAGGAGCCTGAGAAAATATTTTTAAAAAATCCACGCCTTATATGAAGCCATGAAAAAAATCGGAGCCTGAGAAAATATTTTTAAAAAATCCACGCCTTATATGAAGCCATGAAAAAAATAGGAGCCTGAGAAAATATTTTTAAAAAATCCACGCCTTATATGGGACCGTGAAAAAGTAGGTGACTAAGGAAATATTTTTCATAAATCCACGCCTTATATAGGAGTCTGAAAAAATGTTTTAAAAAGTCTACGCCTCATATACTTACTTACTTAGCTGGCTTGTGACAGAACTTTCGTTCCATAAGCCGTGCTTAAAAAAGATTTTCAGGCGCGTCGGTCTTTTGAGTAGTTTTTCCAATTTGAAAAAACACATTCGGCAATGTTATCTTCCTATCTTATTCGTGGCCTTCCCCTTCTGTTTGAACCATCATGTAGTTAACTCTTATATGCCTTTTGGGCTGGGGCATCTTCATACATTTTCACAACATGACCTAGCCAACGCGTAGTCGCTGCATCTCAATACGTCTAATAATGCCGATGTCATGGTTCATTCAACGGCGATATTCACCGACAACGTATATCAGCCCATAGATCTTTCGGTGAATTTTTCTCTCAAACACTCCAAGAGCTGCCTCATCTGCTAGCGTAAGTACCCATGCTTCAGATCCATATAATAGCACGGGTAGTATCAGTAACTTGTAGAGTGTGAGTTTGGTATGGCGGGAGGTGGCCTTGCTTTTGAGTTTGTTTGCTCAGACCATTGTAGCAGCTGTTGGTTTTCTCGCCATTTACGGCCAGACTCACTTTGGCAGACTCCTTCTCAATTTGTTCAAAGGTGGCTATTACAGCTCTCAATGTTCGACCCATTATGTCGATGTCATCGGCGTAGGCGAGTAACATGTGTTGTTTGGTATAAAGAGTGTCATTTCTATTCACCTTTGCCTCTCGTATGACCTTTTCCAACAGGATGTTAAAAAGTTCACCCGACAAACTATCACCTTGTCTGTCTGTTCGGTATTAAAAGGGCTCCGAGAAGTTCTTTCCGACTTTAACTGCTGATCTTGTACCAGTTAAAATTATCCTACATAGCTGAATTAATTTTGCAGGAATGTCAAACGCAAACATGGCTTTATACACCTCTGATCGGATAGGGCTGTCGAATGCGGCTTTATAGTCGACGAATAGGTGGAATGTGTCAATGTGTTTTTGTGGATTTTTTCTCCAGGATTTGGCGCAGAGTGAAAATCTGGTCAATGGTGAATTTTTTCAGGTCTGAAGCTGCATTGGTATGGTCCAATAATGTCATTGACCATTGGCTTCAGTCGCTCACACAGCACGCTGGATAGCATTTTATATGCGATGGAAATGAGACTTATTCCTCTATAGTTGACACCTATCGTCTTGTGTCCTTTTTGTGCACGGGACACAGGATGCTAAGGTTCCAATCATTCCTCTAGCCAAATTGTATTAATCAGCTGGTGCATGCTCCTTGCCAGCATCTGACCACCAGTCTTGAATACCTCGGCTGGTAGCCCATCGGCTCCTACTGCTTTATTGTTCTTGAGCCGATTGATTACTATTCTGACCTCATCTTGGCTAGGTGGTATACACTCTATACCATAATCTCTAATTGGTTCTGGGGTATTTTCTTCACCGCCACTATTTGATACCAGAAGCTTTTCAAAAGGCTCTTTCCAGATCCTCAACACGCTGAATGTATCTGTCATCAGTTCTCCTCCATCATCTCTACAGGAGGGTGTGCCTGCACCAAAGCCTTCGGTTTAGTGTTTTACTCGTTGGTAAAATTTTCGGACTTTATTCGGACTCCTGTAACTCTCAATTTGCTCACGTTTTTCTTGCTCTTTCTTCTTTTTTCTGAGAATACGTTTCTCCTCTCTCCTATTCTCCCGATAATTTTCCATCACATTACGTGTTGCTACTGTCTGCAGGGTTGCCCTATACGCTGCGTTTTTCACATCAGTAGCATTACGACACTCCTGATCGTACCATGGATTTCTTGGTGGTGATTTTTGGTACCCAAGTGTTGCTCTTGCTGCAGTTTGTAGGGAGTGGACAATTCTTTGCCATTGTGCTTCTATACTATTATCGGGACAAGAAGTGCTTTCGTCAAGCAGGTGGGTAAGTTGAGCGGAGTAGGCTTTATATGGGATCATGAAAATTGTTAAAAAAAATCACGCCTCATATAGGAACCTCAAAAAATATTTTTTAAAAAGAACCCTCGCCTATTGATGGGCCAAAAAAATATTCGAAAATTACCCACCTTGAGCTACCTATTGCTTATAGGCATGCTACTCATATTTATATTATGTTGTCAAAGTAGGTATATATATATACATTATTTTAAAATACCCACAAGGAAATGTATAATCTATTCATAAAAACTTGTCATTTATATATTTATAAATTTCAAAAAAAAAAAACATATTTTTTGTGTTTTTCACGAAAAATATACATAGAAAGCTAAGGCTCCGCATCACCTTCGTCTTCTAATGAATAATGTCAAATTAAGAAATTTTGAATGTTTTTAATAAATTTTCAAATCAGATGTTTGTACAACATGACATTTTCTATTGCAATTTTGAGTGCATTGCATTATTCAAAACAAACAAAATTATATATATTAATAATTACATACATATGTACATATGTATGCAAATTTCCCTCTATAAAAATGCCCTTGTCATGAATGGGATGCTTGGTTAGTTTGCTGAATGGTTATAATGAAGATCGGTTGTGGATCGAGTGGGGTTTTTTTTATTTCGTTGAGGGGTAATGTCTTTTAGATCATTTGTCGTCGTCGTGCTGATCGTTATGAAATGATATGACAGCATGGAAGACAAATTGAAAATGCCTCGAGGCACCCTACTCCCCCCCACCCTCACAATTTTGGCATAATTCCGCCTAACCACAAAAATTATGATGACCATAATTATTGTGGTGGGAGTGCGGTAAGGAAGGAAGGATGGAAACTAGGTGACGAAGACAACGATGACAATTCAGAGGTAGCAGCTACCAGCAGCTACCTCGTTTGTAAACAAAACATATTTTTGAATTTAGTCACAAAAACAACAACAACAACGACAACAACATGGCCAAAAATAATCAGGGAAAACACACGACGACGACAAAGAAGAAAAAAATCAGCAGCAAGCAAAAACATGCCGTAAACAAAAATAATAATAAAGAAAAACATGGGAAAATCGAAATACACCTGTGTGATAAGGCGGAACATGTTGTTGTTGCGGGTCTTTTTTCTCAAAAGCTAGGTAGGTAGGTAAGTATATATTAATTCAATTGAAAATATATACACACATGTGCATATATATATATATATATTATTTTAAAAAAATATTACAATTTTAAAATTTTCTATTTCTATGTTGTCAAGATTTTTCCTCCTTTGGCCTTCGAATTGACAAAAACTGAATCAAATCAATCGGAATTTTTGCGGAAAACCAAATATTTTGAAGGTTAATTTTTAATTAATTCATAAATAATGATTGACATATGTGCACTTGGGAAGGAAAAATTGGACTTAATGGTGGTATTAAATTAATAAATAAAATTAATAAAAAAAACTATTAAACAACAAAGTATTTAAAAAAATAAATAAAGATAAAAAACTTTGACCCTGATGGAAGGTCCCCAAATTTTGTACACCCTTCATCACACTGTGGTACAGGGTGTTATGCCTTTGTGCATATGTTTGTAACAGGCAAAAGGAAATGAGATAGACACATGGTTCCTTTGAAGAAAATGCATAGAATCATTTCTGAGTCGGCCGTCCGGCCGTCCGTCTGTAGATGTTCAATTGTAAACAAAATACAGGTCGCATTTATGACCCGATTTGGATGAAATTTGGCACAAGTCACATATTTGGCCCAAGGACGAACCCTATTGAAATTGGTGAAAATCGGTTCAGATTTAGATATAGCTCACATATATTTGTTCGTCCGATTTAAGGTAAATGGGGCACCAAAGTCCCCATATATCTTTCGATTTGCACGAAATTTGGCATAGGGTATTGAATTAGGTCCAGAATGATGTGTGCTAAGTGTCGTGAAAATCGGTTCAGATTTCGATATAGCTCCCATATATATTTTCGTCCGATTTTATGTAAATGTTGCACCAAACTCCCTATATATCCTTGGATTTGGACAAAATTTGGCATATCGTACTGAATGAAGCCTAGAGTGATGTGTGCCAAGTTTCGTGAAAATCGTTCCAGATTTAGATATAGCTTCTATATATAGTTTCGTCCGATTTTATGTAGATGGTGCACCAAACTTCCAATATTTTTCAGATTGAGACAAAATTTTTCATAGCGTAATGAATTAGGTCCTGATTGATTTATGCGAAGTTTTGTTAAAATCGGTTCAGATTTTGATATACTTCCCACATATAGTTTATCCGATTATATGCAAGTGGTGCACCAAACTCCCAATATATTATGATGTGCAAAATTTGGATCAAATCGGACTTTCCATTCGACTAATATTGAATTAACAAATTTTCAAAATTGCCGACCATTTTGTGTGGGAGGTACTAGAAGGAGTAGGCCGATTTGTTCTTTCTTCGGACTTCATCTAGCCAAGATAAAAAAATTATGATGTGCAAGGTTTGGATGAAATCGAACATTCCATTCGACGAATATTGAATGAACAGATTTTAAAAATTGTGACTATTTTGTGTGAGAGGTATCCGAAGGAGTTGGCGGATGGGTCCCATCTTCGGGCATGGCCAAGGTTTGGTGAAAATATTATGATGTGCAATGTTTGGATCAAATCGGACATTGCATTCGCGTTATATTGGGTTTCAACAAATTTGAAAATTTTTACACTTTGTGGGGGAGGTACCCGAAGGGGTGGGCGGATGGATACCATCTTCGTGCATGGTCAGGGTTTGCTGAAAATATTATGATGAGCAAAGTTTGAATCAAATTGGACATTTCATTCGCGTGGTATCGGTTCAACAAATTTTCAAAATTGTGACACTTTGTGTGGGAGGTACCACAAGGAGTCGACCAATGGGTCCCATTTTCCAACAATATACAGTTATGGTTAAAATATTAACTTGTGCAAAATTTGATTCAAATCGGATGATTCATTCGCATGATATTGTAAAATCCTTTTTCGGTGAAATATTGGCCATTTTGTGTGGGAGGTACCAGAAGGAGTGGACCGATGTGTCCCATTTTCGAGGAAGAATTAAGCTTGAAAAAAATGTTGCGATGTACAAAATTTCAATGAAATCGGTTACTCCCTTCGAGAGTTATCGTTCACTCCACATAATGCTAATTTTCTCTTATATAACATGCCATTTTTGTATGTATGTCAATGTGGAATAAAACTACAGAATTTCCTCGAACCATTGGTGCAAAATTTATGAAAATCGGTCGAGTAGTTGCTGAGTTATTTGCATTTGAATTCAACCATGTTCCGAAATACACCCTACTGTTTGATGCTGGGCACCTGTTACCAGAAAATCAAAAAACCCACAAAAACGGCTATTTTACAAGAAGGTAAGTTTTCGTTCTGCTGGCTGCGGGTGTGCAGAGAAAAGCAGAGCATACTTTTGCGACAAACACAGTCTGTACGCATGGCTCCTAAAGAATTTTTATAAGCCCTTATAAAATGCCCTATCACATATTAACTTAAAAATCGCACTACATGCGTACAGACTGTGTTTGTCGCATGACTATGCTCTGCTTTCCTCTACACACCTGCAGCCAGCAGAACGAAAACTTACCTTCTTGTAAAATAGCCGTTTTGTGGGGTTTTTCATTTTCTGGTAACAGGTGCCCAGCTTCAAACAGTAGGGTGTATTTCGGAACATGGTTGGATTCAAATGCAAATAACTCGGCAACTACTCGACCGATTTTCATAAATTTTGCACCGATGGTTCGAGGAAATTCTGTAGTTTTATTCCACATTGACATACATTCAAAAATGGCATGCTATATAACAGGAAATTAGCATTATGTGAAGTGAATGATAACTCGCGAAGGGAATAACCGATTTCATTGAAATTTTGTACATCGCAACATTTCTTCCAAGCTTAAATCTGGTTCGGAGATAGGACCCATCTTTGCACTCCCTATGGTACCTCCCACACAAAATTGCCAATATTTCGCCGAAAAAGGATTTTACAATATCATGCGAATGAATCATCCGATTTGAATCAAATTTTGTACAAGTTAATATTTTAACCATGACTGTATATTGTTGGAAGATGGAGCCCATTGGTCGACTCCTTGTGGTACCTCCCACACAATGGGTCACAATTTTGAAAATTTGTTAATCCGATACCACGCGAATGCAATGTCCAATTTGATCTAAACTTTGCACATCATAATATTTTCACCAAACCTTGACCATGCCCATAGATGGGACCCATCCGCCCACTCCTTTGGGTACCTCCCCCACAAAGTGTAAAAATGTTCAAATTTGTTTAAATCAAATTTTACGCGAATGGAATGCCCGATTTGATTCAAACTGTGCACATCATAATATTTTCACCAAACCTTGACTATGTCCGAAAATGAAACCCATCCGCCCACTCCTTCGGATACCACCCACACAAAATAGTCAACATTTTAAAAATTTAATTCAATATTCGTCGAATGGAATGTCCGATTTGATTCAAACTTTGCACATCATAATATTTTTATCTTGGCTAGATCAAGTCCGATGATGGAACTCCTTCAAGTACCTCCCACACAAAATGGTCTACATTTTGGAAATTTCTTCATTCAATATTCGTCGAATGCAATGTCCGATTTGATCCAAAATTTGCAAATCGTAATAGATTTATCACACCTAGATTATGTCCGATGATGGAACCCATCGAACCACCCCTTTCGGTACCTCCAAGGGGCTTCACCAATTTTTGTCTATAGGAAAAAAATTGCCCATGGGGCTTCACGATTTTTTTTTTCTATAGGAACAAAATCGACCAAGTGGCTTTACGAATTTTTTTCTACAGAAAAAAATTGCCCAAGGGCCTTCACGAATTTTTTCTATAGAAAAAAAAAAATGGACCAAGGGGCTTTACGAATTTTTTTCTATAGAAAAAAAATGGGCCAAGGGGCTTTACGAATTTATTTCTATAGAAAAAAAAATGGACCAAGGGGCTTTACGAATTTTTTTCTATAGAAAAAAAATGGCCCAAGTGGCCTTACGATTTTTTTCTATAGAAAAAAATGGCCCAAGGGGCTTTACGAATTTTTGTCTATAGAAAAATATTGTCCATGGGGCTTTACGAAATTTTTTCTATAGAAAAAAATGGCCCAAGTGGCCTTACGATTTTTTTCTATAGAAAAAAATGGCCCAAGTGGCCTTACGATTTTTTTCTATAGAAAAAAATGACCCAAGGGGCTTTACGAATTTTTTTCTATAGAAAAAAATCGCCCAATGACTTCACGATTTTTTCCTATAAAACAAATAGGCCAAGGGCCTTCATATTTTTTTCTATAGAAAAAAGAGATCCAAGGAGCATTACGAATTATCTCCGCAAACCATTCCTCAAACTATACCTCTCCAAATCTCCTAGTAATCATTACCCAAGAAATTATTTCAATATATTTTTTTTAATATATTTCGTTAAATTATTTTTAATATTTATATTTATTTTTACTTTCTTTTCTCATTGCTTTAGGTACAATCTCTCTCAGCAGCATCAACAACAGTTAGTTTGGAACCCATTTTTTTAATTTTTATTTTTTTTTTTTCAAATTTAAACTGTTGTTTACAATTGGGATTTCAAAATTTCCGCCTTCGTTTCTTTTACAATAGAGTTGTTTGTTTTCTTTTTTTATTATTATACTGTGATTATAAGAATATATTATGTAATGCTATTCAGTTACATTGATTGTACCATATATATATGCATATACATATGTATATAGGATGGAATGCACTGCCAATTCAAAAAATATGAATGGTATCCAAAGATGAATTTGCATGAAATGGAATAGAATATAATTTGGATCGTTCTCCTTTTTTGTTTGTTCCAGGAAAGTGCCATGGAAAAAAAGCAAGCTAGGATGGAGTTGGTTTGTATGCATAGGTGGAGAATATACACACTGAAGAAGCCTTATTTGAAAATGTTTTATAATAATAATTTTATACATTTGTTATATTATTATAAATAATTTTGTAATACTTCTTCTTAAGAGTAGACATTTTTTCAGGAGAATTAAAAATAAATGCATTTTAAAATCTCAATAAAGTATTACTAGATATGTTTCGATTTTTTCATTTCTCTTATTATTTGAAAGGAGGACTAGCTACTTTTTTTGCAGATTTCTTCTGTAGTGGGGGTGGGGAGGGGGAATAACTAATTTTTATGCACATTTGTTTAAAATGTTTTCCATTTTTTTAATTATATATTTTTTCGGTTTCATTGTTTTGTTTTTAATTATATTATACAATTACAATTATAAGAGTTGGTTGGATTGGTTGTTATAGTTTTCTCTTGTTCTTCTTTTTTTTGTCTTATTACAATTATAGTTTATATATAGTGTTATATATTTGCTCTATTTACTGGTAGAATATTACATTCTAGTGACGGGGTATTTAATCAAAAAATTTAAAAATTAATTAAAAAATAAAAGAAGAAATATTAATTAAATTCTATAACACCTTTACATTGTTTGTAGTTGTTTTTTTCTGGCAGTCAATTAAAAAAAAATCAAAAAATAAAAAGAACTAGAAACTCAAATCTGTAATCATCATCATCGGTTTTTTTAATTAAATCAAGTGAACGCTTTATCCAAAAATTTCCTAAACAAAACCCCCAATCAAGATTGTTGTGCCCGTTGTTGGCGTTGACGTTGGAAAATGGAATCAATGTGGGAGAAGACATCACTGGATTTGCGGGCAGCATCAACAGCAAAATGCAAACCGCGTAGGGCATAGTAATCAACCAAGGGTTTGGTTTGTCTGTGATAGGATTCCAAGCGCTTTTTCAAGGCTTCGGCATTGTCATCGCTACGTCTCATCAAGGGTTCACCAGTGACCTAAAGGCAAAACAAAATATATAAGAATTAAAATTCAAATCTCAAAATTAAAATTTATTTCCCCATACATCATCCTTCATTGGCACTTTGGGTGGAGCAAATTCTTCATGATACGAACGACCACTGGCGGCATGAATCAAACGGCCAGTAATACGTCTAACCAACAGGCTATCATCAATGGCAAATTCAATAACGGCATCCAATTCACTTTTTCTCTTGGCCAATAATTCATCCAACTGTAACGCAAAAAAATTAACAAATTATTTCTATTTTTATTTAATTTTTTATTTATTTATTTTAGGTGACCCCCTTACCTTTTCGGCTTGTACAACTGTGCGTGGGAAACCATCCAAAAGGAAACCATTTTTACATTCAGGTTTATCCAAATTCTTATCAATCATATCAACGACCAATTCATCGGAAACCAATTTGCCCTCATCCATGACCTTTTTCAAGGTGGCACCCAATTCCGAACCGGAACTGATTTCAGCACGCAACATATCACCGGTGGATAAATGGCAAACGCAGTATTTCTCCTTCAACAAGGGAGCCTGGAAATGAATAAAAAAAAATAATTGTCATTAATAAAAAATAGAAAACATCGATAAATGGTTGCTCAACGAATTTATTTTTTATAGAAAAAATAAATTTTTATAAATTTTTTTCTATAGAAAAAAATAGCACAAGGGGCTTTACGATTTTTTTTTCTATAGAAAAAATAGCCCAAGGGGCTTTACGAATTTTTTTCTATTGAAAAAATAGTCCTGATGGGCTTCACGATTGTTTTTCTATAGAAAAATAACCCAAATAGGATTTACGGATTTGTTCTATTAAAAAAATAACTGAGGTGCTGCCACCACTTTTTTATCTATAGAAACAAAATCATCCCTGAGGGGCTCAACGAATTTATTTCTATAGAAAAAAATATCAAAGGGTGTTCCATGAATTTTGTTTCTATATAAAAAAGCACCGGGGACTTTACGATTTTTTTATAGAAAGAATAGTCCAAAGGGCCTTCACAATTTTTTTTCTATAGAAAAAAATGGCCCAAGGGGACTAACGATTTTTTTTCTATAGAAAAAAATGGCCCAAGGGGACTAACGATTTTTTTCTATAGAAAAAAATGGCCCAAGGGGACTAACGATTTTTTTCTATAGAAAAAAATGGCCCAAGGCCCCTAACAATTTTTTTTCTATAGAAAAATATGGCCCAAGTGGCCTCTTGTTTTTTTATAGAAAAAAAAGCCAAAGAGAAATTTTTTTCCTATTTAAAAAATAGCCCTAGTGGGCTTTACGATTTTTTTTTCTATAGAAAAAAGCCCAGGGGGCATTAGCATTTTTATATAAAAAAAATAGCCCAAGGGACATTCTACAAATATTCCCAAGAGGCTTCAGAAATGTTTTCTATAAAGGTGTTTCAGGGGTTTTCTATAGAAAAATTAGCCCAAGAAGTCTTTACGATTTTGTTTCCTATATGAAAAAAATATTCTATTTAAAATACATAGAACATAATCAAATTTGCTGACGCTGTTGTTGTTAGTTCCCAAATGGTCAAGGGTCAATCAAAAAAATATATATGTATATATAAATTTTATTTTTATATTGTATGTGCAGCAGTAGTAGAACTTTGTCTTATCAAACCTCCTCCAATTGCTTGAGGGAATAACTTTATCAACTAAATTAAAAAAGAAAATAAAAAGTTTCCCAAAAAATATTGGGTGTCATAATCAATAAATGGTCATGCACGTAATTTTAATGTATGTCGGGTGGTCGGTATTTTTTTCAACCGACCAATCAATTATTAACAAATGGTTATAGATATGTGAATGTATATAAAAAATAATATAAGGATGCCTCACGTGAATGCACCCAGAAATTGAATTGACGTGGTAACCGATAATATGCAGTTTTGAATGGAATATAGGATATGTTTGTAAATTGAGTGATTCTATAACAACATGAAATGTGTTATGAAGAAAAATTTGCCACAATTTTAATAGACTCTCATAAGTAGTTTATAAACAAAGTCTTTAGCATATTTGTTTATCGATATGAATAATATGTAAAGTCATTCAATTAAGACATAAATATCAGACATGACAATCAGATTATTATATACATATCTAGGCTGATAAGCGTGTATGGTGTTAAAAATTAATGATGAACAGTACACGAAACACGAAGTACATACCAGGAGAGGTTGCTCTATAGAAATATATGTTTGAATGTTTGTGGGGGAGGTACCAGAAGGTGTGGATCGATGGATTCCATTTTCGAACTATATCTAGGATAGGTAAAAATATTAAGATGTGTAAATTTTGGGTCAAATCAGACATTCTATTCGTTTGATATTGAATTTAAAAACATTTCAAAATTTTGACACTATGTGGGAGAAGTTCTAGAAGAGAAAGATAATTTATTACGATATTCGATTTATAAATTTTGACATTTTGTGGGGGAGGTACCAAAAGAAGGGGGCCGATGGGTCCCTTCGGAAAAGATCTAGGTTTGGTACAAGTATTACGATTTGCAAAGTTTGGATCATATAGAGCATTCCATTCGTTTGATATTGAATTTATAAATTTTCAAAATTTCGACATTTTGCGCGGGAGGTATTAGAGAGAGTGGATCGATGAGTGTCATCTCCGAACTTAATCTGCAGTTGGTAAAAATACGACGATGTGCAAAGTTTGGATCTTGGTTCAAGCTTGGTTCAAATCGGAGAGTCCGTTCACATATCATAAACACAATTTTCAGCAAACGGTGTACTATTTTGTGGTGGAGGTACCAGAAGTGGACCCCATTTTCTAACATTATTTAAATTTGTAAAATATATTACGGAACTATCGTGAAAGCCACATGAACGGACATTTGTAAATTGACTCCAAATTGTCTAAAACGGATATTATTGAGGCGAATTTTTGCCATAGCAAAGTTAAAACCATTAACATGAGGAGGCACCCTAATGTTTTTAATGATATGGCCGTATGATTGTGTGCGCACTCTGGTCGGCTATTATTACTTTCTTTTATCAAGACTCCATCCATATCATTCATTGATATTAAATATGGAATTGTATAAACATTTCAAGATTTCCCCATTACTTTAGAATTTCTTTATCACAAGCGTTGAATAAATACGGGTTTCACGACCTTGATCTGACCGACCGACCGGTGGTCGGTGCGACAGCCATTCAAAGAAATTGTACCATGTGCCCATTTACAAAAATAGCGCCATTCAAGAAAATCAGCGGCGTCAACAGCATAAACTGGAAACTATGGGTCACACCACCGCCGCAAATTTCCACGCCACACACAAATTGGCTGTCTCACGATACGAATTTTTTAGTTATGTAACTTTACTATACAATTTCTTTTCGCTTTCATTTCAAAATTCTCGAGAGGGGGTTTGTTTTTTCATTCAGACTTTGCCACCTTTTACCATCAGAAGACAGCAGACATTGTTGCAAATGACTTTGCCACCAATTCAATTCAATTGATTTGTTCCTCGACTATTTTTTGTTGGATGACTGCCAGCTAGCTACCTGCTAGCCACCAAAAACCCGGTGGATTACTTACTTGAGTTCCCTTTCCAGAGCCGGGAGGTCCCAACAGGATGGCATTGATGCCAACTTCAGGTTCATAACGAGATTGGGGTACGGCCTTAGCTGCGTTTGGAGCCATTTTCACTTTTCCGAATATTTCCTACGCCGTGATGATGCCGAAGCAAACAAAAAAATCGAAACGTGGATGTGAAGAAGTTGAAAAAACAACTAACGAAAAAAATACACACACGTTCAGAGAGTAACGCAGTTGGTGGCCGTAATGGGGGATGGAATGGAATTGGAACATGCAAGCAAAACATATGATGGGAATATGAGGGAAAATGAAACCAGTTTTTTATGGCAGCAATGTGGCATCTCGTTCATGGTTTGTGATTTAAACAGCTGATCGGTATTCAAATATATAAAATTTATTTGAAAAATTTAAAATAAAAAATAAATACTATTTTGCAAATACTCAAAACAGGAGTTATTTTTTTATAGACTCACACAAGGCGGGAATTTAAAAAAAATATTTTTTCAAGGCGTATATTCTTTAAAAAGCACCAATTCTTTAAACATTATTTGTAAGGACTTACACAAGACGTTGAATTTAAAACATATTTTTTCATGGACTCACACAAGGCTTTGTGAGTCCATGTGAGAGTTGTGAAAATATATTTTAGAACATATTTTCACAACCCGGAAGATTTTAGGCAAATAAGAAAATATTTTCACAACACGGGGGATTTTTAATAAATATATTTTACCCGTTCAAATAAAAACTCCAATTTTCTTCTTACATTTTGGAAACATACACTCATTTTATTTAAACAAAAAATAATAATGTATGGGTGATGTTCATTTGCTGTTGTTGTGTTACATTTCTTTTTGTTTTATTTTATTTTGACTTAGATAATACAATTTGTTGTTTTTTTCATTATAATTAAAACATTGCAATAAAAATTATCAACTATGGCGGCCAATTCGTTTCAACATTTTTTCTTTATTTGTGTCATTATTAATTAAAAATCTTAATTTTACTTTTTTTTCAAATGATTTAACTTTCAATTTGTTGTGTTTAGACAGACGGTGAATTAAAATTAATTTGAAAATTTGTTGTTTTTGGTTTTCTTTTCTTTGTTAATCTAATATTATTTTAAAAATCAATTAAATTTGTTTGTTGTATTTTGTTTTGTTTTTATTTTATGATAATAAACACACTACACATTAGAGGGGCGTAAAGTGGTCGTTGTCTGTAAAATATAAAAAAAAAATATTAATATTTATAAAATATTAAATATTTTTTGGGAGTTTTGAAAATTGCAATATTTATACCGTTTTCGTTTCAGACGGTTTGATATTTTCTACAGCTTTCTTCTCTTCTTCAACAATATTGTGCTGTTGTAAGGCTTCAATATATGAATTCTGGCATTCTTTGCAAATATTTTTAAAGGATAGCTCCATTTTTTGACTGGCCAACGATAAGAGGGAGATCTGGAAAAAAAAACAAGAGAAAAAATATTAATTTAAAATATATAATAAGTTATATTGCAAAATAAAAACATATATTAACACAGGATATTTCAAAATGAATGGACAAATAGAGAATGAATTTTTAAAGACCTCAATGTAGCGATTCTGGGAAATGTTTTTCAAAGAGATTTGACTTCCAAATCGATTGGAATTTATTTACAGATTCCATAAAAAGAAAGAGGTTTTAAACTCAATTTTATTTCCTTGCCCCGATGTTCATTCGAATCTTGAATTTCAAATTAATCCATTTTAACAAAAAAAGGTACTCCAGCCCCATAATAGATATTTCGTTAAAATCTCCACTTTCATTGCCTTTTCCATTTTGTGTATTAATTTTCAAAATTCATTGTCTATCATATATTGAATTCCCAACTTACATCCTTTTCCAAACGCGGTACATCTTGACCCAAATTAATAATTTTCTGTTTGTATTCTGGCCATGTGTTTTCCAATGATGTTACGTGGGATGTTATATTGGCACTGCGATCAAATAATTCATCCAATTTGTTCTGTAGAAAATAGAAAAACAAGTATTTTTTAATACGACCGGCATTGAATGAAGTTGTTCGGAATACGCACCTTGTGTTTCACCAACTCCTCATGCATGATAATTGACTTTTGTGTTAGGGTATCATTGATGAAACTGGCATTGGCTTCCAATTTGTCAATTTTCGTTTGTAAATCGGTACGCAGAGATTTCAACTCTTCGGTGTAGTTAACGGGTAAAGCCATGTTCTTCAAGCCATCACTGAAGTTGGACTGAAAAGAAAGAACAATAAAGGTTAAATATAAAATGGAACTAATGAAAACAAAGACAAAACTGTGGAAAGTGGTAACTAAAGTTCCGCTGTTTTTTTCCTAAACAAATATCGTGAGAAATGGATGGAAGGCATGTGTGTCCTTAAAAATAACTATTAAAAAATTTACTCCTTTTTTGATTCCTTAAAAATAAAAAAGTCATGTGTGAGTCCTTAAAAATAACTTTTTAAACATCCTTGTAAATAATTCATAGTCGTTGAAAAACTTGTTTTTAATCCACGCCTTGCGTGAGTCCTTAAAAATAACTTTTTAAAAAATCCACGAATTGTGTGTGTCCTTAAAAACAATGTTTAAAAAATCCACGCCTTGTTTGAGTTCATGTGAGTCCTTAATATTTAAAAAAAATCACGCCTTGTATGGGTCCTTGAAAATTTTTCCACTCACCTTCAATTTCTCGAAAACATTTTGCAAGTCCGTCTGTTGCCGCTTCACATTATTATAGTGGTCCTTCATGCTCTCCACATCCGTGGCAATCGCCTCGATTTTGGCACCAAAATCGGCCACAATTTTCTCTTCCTTATAGGTTTTTTGTGCTTCCTGTGAGGTACGATATTCACTGAAATTCTTCCATAGCACCTGTAACGATTGCTGTAGCTCCGCTAATTTGGAGGAGATCAATGTTTGATTTGTGATTAAATTTTTGGAGGTTTCATGCCAGGCTTGCAGGGTGTCGGGGAGGATTTGACTGGCTGCCGAGACTGAAAAGAGTTCAAAAATGAAAACAATTTCCGGGAATTAAAGTGGACAATGATACACACCTTGTTCAACTTTTTGTCTATATTCATAGATTTGTTGTTGCAAATTGAAATTTAGCCAATAGGTAAAGCCAACAAATATCGAAAGGGTTATCACGAACAATAGAATGCCGTATAGACGAAATATCAATTGTTTGTTGTGGCCACAATGATGTGTGGGTTGTTTGACTTTGGGCTGCAAATGCAAAGAGGGGGTGGGGGGAGGTTATGTGGTTAGTTTTGGATTAAAATTCATTCATAAAATGCTTGACTTGAGTATTGCACAGTGAATACTCACCCAATTGTAATCCTCCTGGTCATCGGTGGAAACATTGTTCAACAATTTGTCCTGGGAATATAATGCTCCGCCTCGACTATTATTACCGCGTCTCAAGGCGCCTCCACCGCTGGCACTGCCGCCACTACCACCGCCACCCTTGGCCTGTGACAGCAGAGCATCCAAGTCGCGACGTTTACGCATTTTCTTGATACCATAACGTAATGGTACCGTCACATGATGACTAGAATCCATTCTAAACTAAAATTTATTTATTTTAACAAAAAAAAAATTACAACAACTCAGTTTTGTTTTACAAACAAAATGAGGAGAAAGAAAATAACACGACACACACACAGACACCACAGAAAGTTTAAAACAAAATTTTCTTTCTATGAAAAAAAATGAAGAAGGATTTTCTGGCGTTTTAATTTTTTCTGATGGTCGGTCGGTTGGTTGATTATACTGCTTGCTCCGCTTCTCACAACTGATGTAAAGTAATTTTTATGAAAAACATTTTTTTATTATTGATTTCTTCCTTCGGCTACGCGCGGCTTGACTTTCAAGTCTATTGTCCAGTAGTTATAGTAGAACTGAGTGTATCTGCCTCTGGCTGTGTCTCACTCACCAAACACAACTAGACACAAAATTCACCTCAACCCTTGTGTTTGGAACTGAATGGCCGACGATTTGAATCTTGGAGACATTTTTTTGTCTACAATTTTTCACATTTCATCACACAAAAGAGCGACTATCTAATCACACGGAAGGAAGGACGGATGGATGGTTGATTGTTTGAAACTCAGAGAGCCATGTGTGGTGGGTGCATTTGTGCGGATTTTGCGCATTGTGGTCCCCACCAAAGTAGTTGCTGTTTTTTTGTTTGTCGTTTTAAATGCCAGCTTTGTTTATATCCATCCATCCGCACTCACAACAAACGTTTCTATATTCTTGAATTGTGTCAAATTTGTCATTGAATAACACTCGTCGTCGTCAGTCGTTGTAGATTCCGACAAAAAAACAGCGTTCACAGGCATTACTCTCATCAAGCCATTACCAACAGGCGAGTAGTACACTAAGGTCTTTTGGTTCGCGAAGGGAAATTTGAAAACAAAATTTTTTAGAAATGTTGGACTTTAAAAATATACAAAACCAATATTCAACCAATGAAAAACAATAGTTTCAAACAAAAAACACATTATAATGCATAATATTTGAATGCAATTTCTACTTATTTTGTGATATAATTTTTCTTTTCGAAAATTATATTTTATTATTTATTTTTTTTTTTTTACAAAAAAAATCTACATCCCTTAATCCGGCCATAAAAAGTGGCCCAAGTGTATTAAGTCAAGTCTACGTTGTATCCCCACAAAAAAAAAATAGAAATTGTATTCAAATATTTCCCCCATTTATTGTTATTATTATTGTTATGCCAAATGGGGAGGAAATAATGATTACGACCACTCTTTCTCGAGCACCACTCTCTCTCGAGAATTTGCCTCTCTTTTTGAGTTAACGTAATATTTTTGTACGTTTGTTTTTTTATTGTTGCTAATTTTGCTTCCACGATAAAGCCACTACTTGAGTACCGAACATCGGTAATAATAATAATAAGTTGGAAAAACAAAAATAAATTATATAGAATTTCATGAATTTATTTTTTTTTCTTTTCAAAATGAGTTATGACGTTTGTTGGGGGAACAAAGCAAACAATACAATGGAATGCATGGCTATATATGGTGGACAAAAAAAAAATATAGAAAAAGTAAATTGCAAAAATTAAGCCCCCCCTCATAAATGTAGTGTGTTGTTCGTTTGGCGGTTTGGCATGTTCGTTTTCCCTAAGCCTAGTAATTTGGCGCGAAAAAATATGACAATTATCCACAAGTGCATATTGAATTAGAGGCTTTTTGCAAAATTGTTAAAAATTTAATTTTTTCTATTTAATATATATATTTATATATATATATATATATATATATATATTTCTTTTTTTAACAAAAACTATTTTTTAGAAAATTTTGATTTAAAAAAATAATAGAAAAATTGAAATTTTGTATAAAATAAATTTGCGATCTTTTATAGTTATATTAAACATTTTTTGTTTGAAAAAAGTTGAATTTTTATTACAAAAAAATATTTCAATTTCAATTTATTTCATAAACGAGAATCTAGCCCAAAGGGCCAAAAGCATTTTTAATTTTTTAATTATAATTTTCTTCTTTATAAAAAAATTAGTTTTTTTGAGAGATTTATGTTGTGTATAAATGTTCTGTGAATCCTGGATTTTTTTTTTTAATTCTCAGTATTGGATTTTTGTTTGAATTGTTACACACACACTCACAGTTCCCACTTTAATTAAAACTTTGCAACATTGTTTGAGGGTGGTTGATGCAACCAACCAAAACCATTGGAATTTTTTCGTTAAAAGGTAGTTTTGAAATTTATTTAGGTTAAATTAGGATAGGTCATTGCCAGCACACCCTGTCCGCAAACATCAACCCCCCTTCGCCTCCTTTTGTTTAAGGGAAGGTTTGGTTGTTGTTGTGATGAAATTCGGTTTTATCAAAATAATTTTGATTTGCTTTCTTTATATAAAAAAATATTAATTAAAAAAAGATATTGAAATCAAACACGTATTCGTGGAGGAGATAGCATTATCAATTTAACCGATTACAAACGTCAATAAATCGTTCGATAAAGGTTGGTGTTGCAAAAAAAAAAATGACAACAAAAACAATAAACTCTGATCGAGTTTAAGGGAAATCACTGAGTTATTTTTTTCTTTTAATATTGAAATTAAATGAAGGTTACATTTAATGAAGGTTAATGTTGGATTATTGTATGTTTAAGAAGTGTGCACATATTTTGTTTATGCGTGGAAACTGTTTTTTTTTTATTTTTTTATTTTATTTATTTATTTTTTAATTTATATAATTTATTTGAAGCCTCAAAGGCCAATATCTATTATTATTATTATTTTTTAGGTGATTAGTTATACTCTTTCGAGTCAAGCTTAATGATCTAAGTTTTGCACTGAAAAGGAAAGCCAGGAGAAGAACCCACATACCCACCATTATGCGACGTGTTTCGCCGTTGGTTAAGCGGCTCATCAGGCATATTAGGCTATGTGCCTTTACAAAGGTCGCATGTTGATAACTTGTATTTCTTCCGCCCTGATGCGAAACTTGCATATGCGAATTAAATTCAAATTTGTCAAAGTTCGACATTTGTCTTCATTCTAGAAACAGTCCTTTTCAAAGCAAATTTTTGTTGTAGCGATGGATTTTTATTATTATTTTTGTGGGATTTGAGTTTTAAAACACAACACAGTTTCTTTATATTTCATTTCACAATGTGTTTATATTTATTTAATTAATTCTTTTTGTTGAATTCGAACTGATTCTTAAACTCAGTTCGATTTCTTTTCATTTCCATAGAGTTTCATTTCACTTATATTTTATTTTTAATATTACTAACCATAATATTAATATAAATATTTTCTTATTCTATAATCTATTTTATTTCATTAAAACAATAAACAATCGACCGCACCATTACTTCACACACACACACTCCCTCTCTAGATGATGTTTATCAACTAAAAAAGTGTTTATCGCCTTTGCCGTTTTTCACCCATAAATTATTAAAAAAAAACCGTGTAGAAATACACTTACCCAGCGTGGCCAATAACGAGAAGAAAACTTTGCCTGAAACTCATTCGCTCACTCGAACACTGATATTTGCCGTGAGCAATATGTGTGACTTTGTGTGGCTAGCCTTAATATTGACATCGTGTTGTTGTAGATATCGTCGTTATAACCATGAATTTGTTTGGTTTATTTTTTGTTCGCATTTATTTATTTACATTGGAATTTTATTTAATGCCAAATCATATTTGGGGGGATTTATTACTACATTCATTTTTTCCATTTTCTTCTTAAAATTACATATTCAAATCTCACAAATATTGATGATGACAATTATTTATTTGGCTAATTGATATACCCCACCGGAATAGATTAACTTGTGATCGCGTACTTTACGTTGCAGAAAATCTTTCAAATCATCTTGGGTAAATTCAACACCCAAACCATTTGAGGCAAATAATTTCAGCATTTGATGTATACGTTCAATGGGCAATGAATCCAAATTTGTTAACATGCCAACAATATAGGACCAGAAAACCTGTAAAAGGAAACGAAAAAAATGTTAAAATTCTGAATTCAAAGGTGTTAATCAGTAAATTCAATTTCAAGGTATAACTAAAAAGTGTTACAGTATTCTAGATTAAGTTGTTAATTAGTAAAACTGATATGAGGGGAAAAAATTTTGTAAAGAGAAATACAGCAAACACGAGTTTGAGGTTAAATTAATTTCCATAAAAAATAAAGAATTTCTTTAAATATTATTATTTATTTATTTATTTTTTTTTTTTGAGATTTTTTATAACCTTCGCCAAGCCTCATTCGGTTTGCAACACCTCCATATATCCATAACGGATATATATTCTTGATCAGAAAAACAAAATTCCATATCCTTGTAGGTATTACCGGCTGTTGAAATCCCGTGCATATACATTTTTACTAGTCCCAGAATCGGTAGTATTGAAAATGGGATATATCGTCCACGATTTGGTACAACCCCACAATATTCGATGGCGGGGGTCTACTATCCGAAACGACCCGAGTCTTACTCGGCAAACGTCTCTCACTTCAGCCATTGTGTTAAAGCAATATGACTGCTGCAAAACAACAATATTCCACGACAGAGGGGTTTACGATCCGAAACGACCCGAGTTATACTCGGCCAACGTCTGTCACCTCAGCCCATTTTGTAAAAGCAATAGGGCTGCTATAACAACAACAACAATATTCGATATTTTGGGCATGTTTTTTTACAATAATTATCAATATTGGCTCACTTTTCAGGTTAGCGCCCATATAACAGTACCTCCAAAAATTCTGCATTTTGGATAATTTGGGAACAGATTTCGACCAAATGGACGGTAATTTAGTATTTTGGCTACTCATTGGTTAGAAAATCTTCCTAATTTGTTCTAATTTTATATTTTGCGTTCACATTTAGAATAAAGTATTTCATATTAAAATTATCAACATTGGTCCACTTTTCAGGGTGGCTCACCATATAATGATACCTCCGAAAATTCGGTATTTTGAGGAGTTTGGGAATGGATTTCAACCGAAAGGGCTGTAATTTGTTAGCATCTTGGCCCCAAAAATTATCATATATACCCCATGAACATCAAATATTCGATATTTTGGGAATTTTAGACATTTTTAAATTTCAAGGTCACTGCCTAATGTTCCAAACTGATTGCACATCTCCCACATACTTTCTATGTCCACCTTCTTCTTTGTTTCCCACCCTGGAACCTGGATTTTTATATTAAATTTTAAATCCTACCTGTAACTCCTCTTCCCTTTGATCCGAAGCACTGGCCATGGCCGATTCATTATCTTCATCTTCGGTGATAATTTCATTGATTGGTAATTTTTCCAATTGTGACTTGGGTAACTCATCCTCAATTAATTTGTAAATACCCGGTTGAGATTCAATTATAATACCATGGGATTGCCAGAAGGCCATACGTCTTCTTAACACAGAGGGTGGAATTTTTACCAATGTACTCAAGTCGTCCAAAGACCATTCATCTGTAAAACATTTATTAGATAATTGACATCAATACTATGTCAATACAATACCTACTTTTATTTTGAAAATGATAGATGATAACAGCCTGAGTCGGAGCCACAGTCATATCTAGAACTCTCTCACCCAACTCTATACTAATGGATACCTTGCCGGTCACGGTGCGCCAATTTAGGGTACGATTACCTTTATACTCCTCATAGGATTTTGTGTATTTCCTAAATTCATTGGCAATTTCTTCGGGTAGCTCAACACTTTCCTTGTTAAACGAGGGCCAAAATTGTGCGGATATTATCAAGGAGGAGATATCAAATTGTTTATCTACAAAAAAAATAATAATATTGAATATGCACAATTTTAAACTAGAGAGATGTGTATTACTTACTCTCCACATATTTGGTATCACTGTGTATGTGACTATTAATACGCTTCGAATCGGCAATGTCCTTAAGCATTACCTCACAATTGTGTAGCAGCGACTCACCGAAACGCAATTTCAATAGCTCCAAATTACGTATCTCCTTTTCGGGATTAAATTCTAGTTGTGTTAGCAAACGATCTGCCAGCAGATTACGATATTCACTCATAAACAATTCCTTGCTACCATAAATATCCACAACCATGGAAATAATATCAGCACTGCGTGAAGTTTTTACCGCACGAGTTTGTACCGTTGTGTTGTCCAGACCAAATGGATCAGGTTGCCAATTTTCCCAATTACTGAGTTCATCGTGGACATTTCCTGTCGCACCATCTTTGACAGCATCTCCCTTGGCCAATTCTTCCGATAAATCAGTGGGCCCTGATTCAGTTTCTGTTAAACTTGTTACCACACAACGTACGGTGTCACTGCGCTTTCGAAGATACTCCTTAATGGGAGCTGTTACGGTTTCCAAAATAACACCACTACTATCCAAGTAGCGTATGGCTTTAATGGCCGCCACATAGCCGGTTAGAATATCCATGGTATTAACACCGGGATGTAGAATGCGAGCCTCCAAAGAAGTTTTTAAGGTATTGATAATTTGACGGCGTAAATTTATTTTCTCCATACAAATTTTTAAATCCTCTATGGCCGGTATGGAATCAGGGAAATCTGCAAAATAAAAATACTACTTGAAAATAACCATAAACTGTGAAGGCCTCCAAACTTACCAATGATAATACTAAAGAATTGATCAATCACACTCAGGGCATAGTTTTCATAGACATAAAAGGTCAATTTGACCTTCAGGCTTTGTATGACATCCGATGACTTGGAGTTATCATCGGTGTGCATGGCATCCGGATCACTGGAGACTTTGTTGTGGAATACTTGCATTAGCCAGCAAATGACTACATCATCAAGCCACTGTAAACATAGTAAAGAATAATATTAATTATTTTTTAATATTGAAACCTCTTACCGTTAACAAATTCTTCAAATGACTTCTATCGAATATACCATGACAGGTATTTTTAATGTGTTCTTTTATGCGTTGTTGTACCAAAAATGTCATGGACTGTCCGGCCAAGCGATCCAACAACTCCAAATCAACCAATTTTTGATTGACCTCATTGATGGTTTGCAATAGACTTTGGCATTGACACTTTTCCAATTCCTGATTGCAACCTTTGCAAGGCATGCCCGATTCATCCAAGTCTTCAGTATCTAGAAAATCAAAAAAAAAATCCCATTATTAAAATTCCAAAATTTTCAATCAGAACTTACCCTGCCCCTCATTCGTCGACTGATGTAAATTAAAGAATACCCTAAATGAGACACTATAGAACGAGAATACCACATTATTGAAATGTGTCGGCAATTGCGACAGCAGCGAGGAGCGCAATAATTCATTAAGTTTAGTCAACGATTTACTTGAATCCTTTTGCTGACCACATATACCATCTAATTTTTCCAAACTTGTTTTAACAAATTGATAATAGGCATCTAGGCTCTTAACGGCATTGACGAAATTTGTAAATAGTTTATATTGTTGTTGTAATGCCTCAGCACTTTCGCCATCTTTTTCAAATTTGGTCAGGGTTTGATTGTGCTTGAAGCAGGACCAAAATGTTGGTGTCAATTTACTGCGAACAAACGAGCCAATTTCAATCCACAACACTTCATAGATATATTCCAGAGAGTCTTCAGGTTCTTTGGACAATTCGGGGGTGTCCAACTGGAATTGAAATAAAAATTGAAATTTTTTAAAATCTTAAATTTCATACTTAATTCGCTTCATGGAAAATGCTTTACTCTGGAGGATGTATTAAAAGGAGCGGATTCCATATATAATTGATTAAAACAAGGAAAAATGACGTTACCTTTTGCGGGGTCTTATATGGACATATAGGAGAAAGTCGCAACTTAAAAAAATTAAAATAATTCTTCTTTAATTTTTTTAGACCCCTACCTCCGAAAGTATAAAATTCTCCTCTGGTTGTAATCAGTATCAGAGGAACTATCTCCAGCAAAATTTTTAAAAACATTCGAATTGGTATTCTTTAAGAAATTTAATAAAAAGTGTGGGTATTTTTGGAACTTTGGAGTCCCACCATATTACGGGAAGTACTAATTTCCCCCCCGGAACAACGTACCTGTGGTAGAAATTTCAAACTATTCTGAGAGGTGCCTGCAAAGGGCATTTGTTCCAAATCTATTTTTTATTGTGCATCAGTCTATATAACATCTAAAATTTGTTTGCAAGACCTCCAATAAAAAAATAAGAGTCTCGATGGGTGCCGTGCATTACCTTCGCCATTAACATATTCATATATACATATTTTATATACTAAAATTCTTACACATTCTTTTAATATTGGACAGCTTTCACTAAAATCGGACCAAACGATTTCCATTTTTCAGTATTTTTCGGTGCTAAAATTGCCTTCAAAACATTCCGATGAAGACAAATACAGCGACTCACCGGCAAATTGTGTGTTGTTTAGTTCAATTAAACGATTCACTGAAATGAACCACTGAACTTTGACACATTGTGCAAAACTCTGTAAAAGGGAAGCATCAACAAAAGTTCATGTTATAAATACGAAAGAAATCATGGTATACTAATAGAAGGTAACAGCAAGTGTTGTTGTACAACAAACGATACAACAACCACATGGAAATTTGTTGATGTAAGTTTTACTAGTGTCAACATCATTTGACAGACAAATGTAAACAAACAAACAAATTATCAACAAATTATATTTATTTTGAAAATGAAATATTTTCGAATCCTCAAAATAAAATTTGAAAAACATGAATACAAATCTATCAAATTTATATTTCTGTCGCTTCCACATCTGTCCTATAATTGAGCCATTGCCACTTATATGTGTAACACGTATGAAAATGCAGGGAATTGCGAGTTATTCCATGAAGAAAGATTTGCTTCCTCAAACTTTCCCAGCAGGCAGATTGAGTAAATTGAATACGGGAGCACATTTAATAAAGAACAATTTCGAATTGTATGCGTTAACAATTTTCCTGTTGGGTGATTTTTAAAAACATAATTTGTCAAATTCATATTGACACTAGTATTACGTTGGAATCAAATCAGCTGTGATTTGCTGTTACCTTTTATAATTGTACCATGGAAAGAAATGCAAAAGTGACGAATATGCTTACTTATGTTTACCAATGGGAATTCTATATATCTAAATTCTTACAGATTATTTTAATATTGGATTGACGGTGCTAAAATGCTTCAAAACATTCCGATGAAGACAAATGCAGCAATTCACCGGCAAATTGTTTTGTTTAGTTCAATTAAACGATTCACTGAAATGAACCATTGAACTTTTTTCGGTGCTTTTAATTCCATGAAAACATTCCAATAGACAAATGGCCTGTTCCCGTACTGCAAGAATCTACTATTTTTTTACTACGATAACACTTTTTTCCTTTATGATATCGGAAAAAATAGTAAAAACTCCCACTGTCCACACAGTCGATTTTTAGACTTTTCGTTTTTAGCCTTTGACTAAAAAGTCGACTTTTCGATTTTGTCAAGACTGTTCCAAATCGATTTTCGACTTTAACTGACTTCTGCCAAATCGACTAAAAATAGATAGAAGAAAATCGATAGTCGATCTTGAAATGTCGACTTTACGATTTTCTCATAGATCAAAAGTCGAATTCGACTTTTATGCGGTGTACACACTATCATTTTTGAATAGCACTCTTGCCCAAATTTTGCGTGTTTGATAGTGTGGCCTCACATGTTTGTCATTCATCAGGCAACCACAAAAATATTTATGGTTTTCCGACAGTCAGTAATCGATAAAAAAGTTGACAGTCAAAAATGATAGTGTGTACACTGCTTTAGACTTTTCAATACAAAAAGTCGATTAATCGAAAGTCGATTTACCTATCCCTACAACAAACGGCTTCAAAGACATAAAAGTATAAGAACACGGCGGCTTCGCATTGTGTATTGTGTTGACGACTCAAAGGGCGTATTCTTATTCAATTTTAAACTCTACAACAACAAAAATGAATTCGGATTTTTGGAATCGAGTAGCAAACATGAAGATCAACTATATTGATCCTTCTCTCCCTCGTGAATTGACGTGTTGGGATGATTATTATTTTGCTGAGACTCATGCTCAAAAGCAGAAATACAAGATTCCATCTGAAGTGGAGACTAAAACAGCAGGTCTCAATCTATGCCAGTTTTTTGCCGGCCAGATCACTATATACAGTGGACTTTTTACAGACATGTTAATTGTATTATTGTCCATGCCATCTCCTGGCATAGAATCAAACCGGGCATTTTTTAATGAATTTTTGGCAGCAGAGGGAACTATAAGGACTCCTTCTGCCGGAACTGGTGTAGATCAACAGGTGATTCCACAGTTGGATAACTATATCATGGAGCCCTATTCGACAAGCAAATTGTCCACCAATGATATCAATGCGGCATGGACAGCCATATCCAGAGGACTCCTGTCCATTTCAGCTCAAGGAGAGCCCACCAAAGATTCTCGAAATGCCAAGAAAGCCTTGGGTACAATCATTTTGCATTGTTTGAAAATGTTTTCTAAATCGGCAGAATCAACACGAGTGTCAATGGTTAAAACATTAAATAAGCATTTCAGAAGCATGTACAAAATAGATGGGGGTTATCCAACATTGGTACCTCCTCATTCTAAATCACTCAACGAACTAAGTAAGGTTCTTCAATATAACTGGGATTCCGCATTTGAAATATTATCGTTGCTGATATGCAAATTAATATCTATAACCAGTTCCAAACAACCGAATGCTGAAGCAAGGGATCTGTTATTTGGATCTTGTCTTACCCATATTGGTATGCATGGTTTATCTCCAATTAAACAACTTGAACAGACTGCAAATGCCTTGGGAAAATCAATCAACGAATTTGCGGCTATGATCTGTGGCACTTTTACCGAAGAATCCTTGATCCGTATATTGGAAATGATCAAAAAGATGGACCGAAAGGTTACCAAACTTAAAATTATGGACGTGGAATTTAATTATGACGAGCACATAACATGGAGATACTGTCGTCTATTTAATGAGTCTCATTACAAACGGTTCAAAACCAAAGATAACATAAGTGTCATAGTTCGATGCGCAGCATTTTTGGCCCATACAAATATGGGCCATCAAGTGAGCAATATGACGATACTACAAGACTCCATGTATAAAAATTGGTACAAAATGGAATATAACATGGCCAAAAAATATTGTCGGATGCATCTTAAACATTGCAGTGATGCTGATAATTCGGATTAAAAACAACTTATTTTTAATGAATTTATTTGGTTTTTTGTTTCATTTTCTTTTCAAACATAATCTAATATTGTATTGAATACAAGCAAGAAAAACATTACAACCCTTCGTTTCTTGATTGGCAAATAAAATAAAGAGAGAATTGGACTTGATCTGATAATTGAAATTGATCTGAAACATGGGCCAATAAAAACAGGTCGTATATGCGGGGTTTTACACTGTTGGTGATTGGTATTGTTCATGAGAGTTTTTTTCTCTCCCTCTCTTTGGTAAATTGAGAGTAATTAGAGTTGCCCTATTTTTAATTTTTTTAACAAGCGTACTTTTTGTTCGCAAAGGTACGAATTTACATAAACGTACCAAAACAAAAAGTAGATTTTTTTATTCCTGAATACATTTACGCTTAAATTATAACATATATTATTTATGCAAATAACTGGTATAAATATTGGACAATATTTCTGGATAATATATAGCATTTCCACATTAAATGAAACCTTTTACAAATTAAATGAAACCTTTTCCAAATTAAATGAAACCTTTTCCAAATTAAATGAAACCTTTTCCAATTGAAATGAAACCTTTTACAAATAGAATGAAACTTTTTCTAAATTAAATGAAACCTTTATTCTTATCTAAGGAAATATAATATTTGCAGTAATTTTAAACCAATATTTGAAAATTAAATTAACATAAATATTCTTTAATTCGGTGTGATTTCATTTAATATCATTACTACATAAAACTAAATAAATAGTAATACAAACTGGGGTATTTCTTGACATTTTAATAAATAAATATTTAAGAACAGGAATTGAATACCCGGTCCTAAATGCGAAATACATATTTGACTTAATAAATTGTTGATGATAAGGTAACTGCTTATCTTAATGAAGGGGTTCCCGA